CGTTCTGCACTAAAACAGCTTAGGGAACCAGGGCTCCTGGTTATGCCAGAAAATGAAAAATGGTGGTGACATATTAAAAAGACATAAGAGCCAGCTTGAGCATCAAAATAAATAATAGTAATAAAACAACATTCATGAAGTAAAATAAGCATATATAAGCCCATACTGATATAAATTAATAAATTAATAAATGAGAAAGAAAAGCTCTCCCTTAAGATAAAGTATCAAGTAATAAATGTAGGAGAAATGATGGAGTTAGAAAGCATGATTTTGTCCATCATGGTAATACTCTCTTCAGCTGTGAATCATTATTGGATTCTAAAAATCTGTGGGTGATCGTTTCTCAACCTTTTGGCTAAGATCAAGTGTAGTATCTGTTCTTATCAGTTTAAAAATCTGTGGGTGAAAGTTCATTAAAGAAAGGATATCTATATAACCTCAAAATATCCCTTACAAATCATTTATTACAAAGGGAGGAACTAACTTTAGTGAACACTACCTTACACCTTAACCACCTAATTAAAGTTAACATTATTAATAAATAAAACAAATTGAATCACCAACCTTCTGATATTGGTGTCCTTAAAAGGACATTATATATTTTCTGTGACATTCCAGCCAAACATAACTGAATTTAATCACAAGAATACACCAAACACAAAATGAGGAATATTCTAAAAATAAGCTGAGGAACCATACCAGACAAAAGAAGACTAAAGATATATGACAACTAAATGATACTGGATTAGACTCCAGATCAGGGGGTGAGGGATGAGGTGGGGAACATAGTTATAAAGGACATTTTGGGACAAACGGAGAAATTTGAATATGAACTGTGGTTTAGATCAAAGTTTCGCAAATATTTTTGGTTCAAGGAACCCTGTGTCTCAATCATTTTTTTCATGGTCTTCCATGACCAAAAGAAATATCTATGTCCAAACAACATATTGAGTATTTATGCCCTAACAATTTAGGTACTATTTGTAAAAATAATACATGTAAATTGAACAAAAAATATTTTTAAATTTCATTCTTAACCACAATTACTTACTAATGGGATTTATGCACCTGTTGGGCACAGCACAACTTCTCAAACCTTGGAATCAGGTTGGACAAGACCATCCTCATTTCCTGTTCCACACTAATTTTTATACTGTATCTTGGTTTTTATCACAATCACGAAAAAAAACAAACAAAAAACACCCCAGCTTCCCAAATATATGATATATTTAAGGAATATGGCGCCATCTATTGTAGAAATTGTAAATAACCTCAAGCAAATAGTTCTGGATAGTCTTAGATTTCATTTTGTCTGCCTTGAGAATTTAGAAGGTAAGATATCCCACAGGTATTCCCCAGTGAATTAAATTTATGTGGGGCTGTGGGGCACCTAAGTACACAGTCTGAGAACCATACGATTAGATAATAGAGGTGTATCAGTGTTCCATTTCCTGATTTCGATAAATATACTACTGCTGTGTAAGAGATAGTCCTTGTCTTATAAAATACACATTGGAGTATTTAGGATAAAGAAACACATCTGCTAGTTACTCTCAAATGATTCAGAAATAAACATGTGGATAGATAGATGGATAGACAAATAGAACAATTAGTATAGTAAAGGAGACAAAATGTTAATTGATGAATCTGGATAAAGGGTATATACGATTTTTTCCTTACTATTCTTGAAATGTTTTCTGAGTGAAATTATTTCAAAATAAATATTTCTAAAAGGTAAAACGCAATACTACATTTTAAATTGTATACATATATGTAGTGATAAAGTTTTTAAGTGCCTGGAAATTAAAAACACCGATTCAGATAGTTGCAACCTTTTGTAGAGAGGGAGTAGGGATGTAGTGGGGAAGAGTACACATAGTATCAGTAATATTTTATTTCTTTTTTTTTTTTTATCCTCACCCGAGGACATTTTTCCATTTTTTGTACAGATAGAGTGGGAGGGAGAGAGAGGAAGAGAGAGAGAGAAACATCGATGTGAAGGGACACATCGAATGGCTGCCACCCGCACGACCAACCAGGGCCGGGGACAAACTGCAACCAAGGTATATGCCCTTAGCGGGAACCGAACCCGGGTCTCTCTGGACCGCAGGCGGACGCTCTAACCGCTGAGCCAAACCGGCCAGGGCAATATTTTATTTCTTAAACAATGTGGTACATACATAGGTATTCATTATGTTATTCTTTTGAAATATATATATATATTATATATATTTTTTTATTTTAGGGAGAGAGGAGGAAGATGGGGGCAGGTGGCAAGGGGAGAGAAGGAGAGAGATCATTTGATTGCCTCCTGTCCAGGGACAAAACCTCAGTATGTGCCCTGACAGGGAATTGAACCAGAGACCTGTCAGTGCCCAGAACAAGCTCAAACAACTGAGCCACAATGGTCAGGGCCATTATATTATTTTTTATACCGTTAAGTATGCCCAATATGTTTCCTAATTTACTTTTAAAATACAGGTTTAAAATATGTAGAATCTTTCTTAATACATAAAAATAAAAAACATGAGTAAGTGAACGCATATGGCTACTGTTTATTGAGGGTTACATGTACCACGTACTTCGTGGGCATCCTCTCCTGCCAGCATCACGTGCCTGTGTCACACCAGCATAAAGCAGAACAGAGCTGACTCTGGCACTTGTGCTCCTAACCCACATACCACATTTTCCAGCTCCACACTACACACAGGGAATTCATGCTTCTCTTTCTTCTTTCTATATTAAAGACTGGAAAAGAAAGTTACTTTCTTGCTTTTCAATTCCAAACTAATTTAACACACCCTGTAGAAAATATGGCTATTCATACTAAAACCTTGGAAACATTAATATGAAAAAAATGGTAATACATTTTAAACTTCAGCATGTTTTATTGCCCTTATGCTCAAGAATATCGTACTTAATCAATTTTTAATAGTTATAAACCTGACACTTGGCAATTATTCTACAACAATACCAATTCTATTATAGGGTCAAAGAAGAATGGTCAAAGAAATAGATGTTTCTTAATTTTATTAAATCACACTGAGAGATCAGCATCTGAAGAATAACTTTAAATCCAATTATTTTAAGCTTAAAACTATCAAAATTTTAACCATGACTTATATTTCATATTTGTAAAGAAATTTAGAAGCTTCATTGAACTAAGTTATATTACTTGTTGATTATGAAAACAATCCAAAATAGGTTTTTTTTCTTGAAAAGCAAATGATGTTTTTAAATTAAAATTTTAAATTGAAATATTTGATAACCTAATTTAAAATAGCTATTACGAAAATTTGAGCCTTTATTCACTGTCTTCCTGCAAGTATTTAAGACGTTTAAAGCTATATGGGAACACAAGCAATATTTCCTTTGCCCTTGTAACTTACTGGGAAATTGGCAGCCATTCTTTTTCAGGGCACCAAACAATTATTTATCAAATTCTATTTCTCTTTTGTAACTGATGATATTGACTCAAAAAAAAAAAGTACAGTTTCTCAGACTGGTTTTTATCAACCAGATGCTTTTCTTATCTCTTGGAGTGAGAGAATATAAAAGTGGTTATGTTAGAATTGATCATTATTTCATTGTCATATTGTCAGCTAAAGGAAAAGTGAGAAGAAGATGGGGCTAAATTTGGATGTCAGTGGCAGGAAGAGGAGGAAAATGAAGGAGCTTACAGCTACAATCACACACACACCTTGAAAGAGTTGAAAGAGTATAAGAAAAGTCTTGTCTGAGCTTTCCTCCTACAGATTAGAACTACATAATTGAAGAGTAAGGACCAAATTTAAACCCATCTCGACTCCAAATGGACAACTTATATTTTTTAATGATAGGAATGGGAGTTAGATCTTACCTAAGGCCTATTGAACCCGAAAAGGAATGTATCTGCCAAAAAGGATTCCTTGTGGTTAACTGGGTCCAAATTCATAATCCACAGTCTAGCAGCCATTGTTTACAGTGGCCTGTCACACACACACACACACACACACACACACACACACACACACACACACACCATGCACAGTCTGATCTGCCAAGTCTCCTGCTCTGTGTTCCTTATAAAGGAGTTTTTAGAATCTCTTTTGACCAATGGGCTGAGACCTGCCAATTCAGAGTTGAGCAACTGTATCCTCATTTGCATCTATACTGACCAATCAGAACAGCTCCATAGCAACCAATCAGAATGCATCGTCCTGACCAATCAGGACAATGCTACTTGGACTGATTAAAATGTGAAAAGTTGGATTCTTTATTTGCATAAAAATGGACCAATCAGGGTTGAGGGTAACCACTTTCCCTATATTAGAGGGCCTCCCAGATGTCAGGAGGGCCCGTTCTTTGGTTTTCATAAAAGGCTGCCTTTCTTCAGTGTGTAGACTGTTCACCTGAGTGAAATCTCCTTTTTCTGTACTCCAGACTGGGGACTTCTGTTGGCATTGGATTGGAGTCAGAGACCTTTTGTTGAGGGGCCAGTCTGTCTTCCAGAACCAGGGCCCCAACTTCCTCGATTCCTAGGCTCCTGACTGTCTCTTTGGGAGCCAGGGTAGGGGAAACACAATACTGGAAGGTGAATGGACTGGCCAGTGTGGACTGAAGAATCCAAAAAACACCCTCAAACAGACCATGGTCTACTCCGAATTTTTAGCTTGCTGAACCTTGAACTAATCTATCCATTGTTCTAGCTACTCCCAGCAGGAGAATCTGCCCTAAACAGTCAATAAATTTTTAAAACTTGGCAGCGAACGTAACAAATGCCTATGTCCTGGCGCCCCTGGGCACAAAACTACACAGTGCACGAAGAGGAAACCCAGCCACTACTGCACGCCGCCTGCCTGCCTAGGGACACGGCCCAGACTTCGTCGCCTGTTTCCAGGGGTTAGGTAACCACAACCTCATCTCCAGGGCCTGGCGGTGACGTCACTCATTCCCTTTCTAGCATCGCGAGACTCCCCCCTCCCCCCAAGTTGCCAGTGCTCCCAACCGCCCGCGTCCGCTGCTATGCAGCGGCGGGGATGGCGAACCGCGGAGCCCGGGCGGTGACGCTAGCAGCGGTTCCGCCATTGGATGAGGCGACCTGAGGGACGGGCCAGCGTGGTGAACAAGAAGAGGCCGAGGTGTGAGGCCCCGAGAGAGCGAGGGCAATGGAGGCCAACATGCCGAAGCGGAAGGAGCCTGGCAAGTCCCTGCGCATCAAAGTCATCTCCATGGGCAACGCTGAAGTGGGAAAAGTGAGTACCACGCTAGGAAGGGCGGGACCTCAGCGCGGCGGAGCGACGTGCCGATTGGCTGGGAGTGCGGCCACTCAACAGCCTGGGGCTCAGCCTCCTCCCCGCCCCTGAGAAGGCCCGGGTCTCCTCCTGGGGGATGGGGCTCCTCGAGGAAAACTCTCCTGACCTTTTTGACCTTTGGGTTGTCACCTCCTCCGCCGACGTCACTCTCTCTAAGAAGGTGTCTCCTGTGGCCCTTAGCCCTTGAATGTACCCCAAAGAAAGTAAGGAGGCCTGGATCCTAACGTTAGACTGTCAGCTTAGCTACCATATCTGTGTTCGAGGTGACCTATCTGAGACTTAGAGGTGGAGAATAAAAGTTTAGTTACCCCAAGTAGTGCTTCAGAGCCGAAGGGAACTTACTGGGGAACGTGTGAGGATTGGGGATTTGTAAAATATTTCTCTACAGAACTGGAGCCCCGAATCCAGCATTTCGCGGAGCATAACTGACGCTGACATGTTTCACGGGGGAGGTGCAATGCATGTCAAGGAGCCTGTGCCCTTTTGTTTTGCATGTTTGTTTTGTGTTTATTTTTGGTGGTGTTACCACATCTGTTCTCTAAAAGAAGCCTTAGTTCTGCCTTTTTCTTTTCTTAGTCTACTGGGTGTCATCTATAGGCTGTCCCATGGTATGAGGGAATGGGGGGTGTAAGGTGACCAGAGGTCTTTCCCTAAATGAATTTTAGGACTGCCTCCTCTTCACCCAAGTTGTCTGTCCTTATAGGTAAGTGGAAGCTGTTGATTAGGAACCTCTCAAGTTCATCAAATTAGTGACAGAGACCGGATTAGAACCTGGGTCTTCACATTCCCACTGCAGATCTCTTTCCATGTTTACATGCTGTCAAAATCAACTGGGAAAAGGATCTCCATGCGAAAAGACCTAGTAAAGTATTTAGGCCAGTTCCTTGCACACATTTAATGCTCGTTAAATGTTTATTAGTGTATTTTCTTTCTTTTTAGCATTTTACTGTTTATGTATCTGTGTGTGTATATGTATGTATGTACACACTAACATAGCATTCTCTGAAAGGCAACATCTAGTGAACATCAGCTATGTGCCAGGCATTGAGAAGCAAAGAATAAAATGCCTCTAGAAGGTTATGTACTAAACTGGCAAAGAGCATTGCATCACTTTTGTAATTTTACTATGTTTAATGGTGCAGCATTAAAAATTGCCCAAAATGCCCAGTGTCACTACATTCATTAGCCGGTACAATTAGATGAGAGAGAGAAAGAAATAAATTATGAAGTACTAGAAAGAAGAAGGCAATATTGTCATTCTTTGCTAGTTATATGATTATCTAGAAACCCAAAGAGAATTTAACTGAAAAGTCAGAAAATTCAGTGAGGAAAAACTAACATACAAAAATTAATAGCTTTACTATGTAAAATTATTATTGTTTGGAATATATCATTGAAGAACTATTTGACTTTATAATAAAAACCAAAACAAAGTGCCTAGGTTTAAAATTGAGAAGAAATAGGTAGGACCTATATGAAGAATAATTTCAGACTCTACAAAGGGACATACAATTACTTAGATGAATGGAAAGATATTTCTCCTTAATTAGGATCACTCAAAATTGTAGAGATGTTAATTCTTTAAAATAATATACAAATGTAACTCAATTCCATTTACATTTCCAATAGGGTTTTTCTTCAGAACATAATAAAAGGTACTAAAATTAAACATGAAAATAAGAAAATTGTGAAGAAGGAAATGAGAAGAGACTAACACTAATGATATTAAAACACATTTTAAAGTTACCAAGATTTTCCTCTTGATACTGGAAAGGAAATATAGAGACGTCAGTGCAATAGAATGGAGTCCAGAAATAAACTCAAACATGTAAGGAAACTCAGTTTACAACAAATGTAATCATGGGAACATAGGGACCATTTAATAAGTACTATTGGAACAAGTACATACTATTTGGGAGTAGAGTAGATCCCTATTGCATTCCTTTCTCAAAAATAAATTTCAGGTGAATAAAATACTTAAATGTAACAAAAAATTTTCCTTTAGTTATAAAAGTAGCACACATTCATTTTAAAGAATTTGGAAAATATAGAAACATATACAGATAAACAATTTTATGTTAAAAATTAAGAAATGCTCTAGTAAATAATCCTTGAACCAAAAGGCAAATAAAAACAAATGACAAAATAACTATTAAGCAATGAAAAGGATAGAATCTATACCAAAACCTTCAGGATAAAATCAAAGCTGTAGTCAAATAATTTATTAGAAATGTAGAAATAATTTATTTCTAAAGACGAGAGATAAACACTAAAGAAAATTAATGGTGGCACAACTTTTTTAGTACACTAAAAACCATAAAAGTACACTTTAAAGTATGAATTTTATGGTATGGTATGTCTCAATTTTAAAAAAAACTAAAGGAACTTAATACATTAGAAAAAGGACACAAAATAAACCAAAAGACAAAGGGAGTTCTCTGGAAAGATTAATTATGAAAAAGAATGCCTACAAATCTGTTTAAGAAAAATAGAGAAAGCAAAATATTACAAGATTTGTGTTGAAAAAAAGACAGTCACACACTGGAAGAGCTTAAAAGATTGATTAGAGAATACTACCAAAATTCTATGGGAATATATTGGAAAATATAGAGGAAATGGAGGACTTCTAAGCAAAATATAAATTACCAGAATTGACTCAAAAGAAGTAGAAAACCCATTGACCAGTTACTACAGAAGAAATTAAGAGATTTATCATTTCAAAAGGTTATCAGGGTCAGGTGGCTTCATGAATAAGCATGATTTAAGTTTTTTAAACATAATTTCAATTTTTTAAATTACTCCGTGGCAAAGAAAAATATGAACAGGATTCTTATTTATTATATGAAGTCATGGTAACTTAAATAGCAAAACTTGATATAGTATCAAAAAAGAAAAGTATATGCCAATTTTATATATACATAGAGATGCATAATTTCTAAATATCAACAGAATTTGGCAATATAAAAATATATATACTGTTATTAAGTAGGGATTGTCATATGATTGCAAACATGGTTCAATATCAAGATGTCAATCAACATAATTTGTATCAACCGATTACTGGAGAACATATTTTCAGTACACTAAAAATATTTAATATAATTAGTCATTTCTAATAAACATTTTATGATAAAATAATATTTATTATCAACCAGCAGCAAACATATCAGCAAAATGCTAAGGCCATTTTCATTAAAAACAGGTACAAAAAAGGATACTTATTATTTTCCTTTATTATTAAGCATTGTTTTTTAGAGGTTCTAGAGATGCAATAAAAAGGAGGAGATTCCCAAGGGTTTTATATCCTCTATGGCAGACCCCTAAAGTTTCTGTGTTCTATGTTTATATCCAATTCAACTTTCAACATTAGCAGTCAACCTGTTCCCAAAGCCCCAGCCCAGTTCTCAGGGTCCTCTAGGATCTGAAGTTTCTAATATGATTACCACTGAATCTGTATATCAGTCAACTCTGAAGCTTGCCCCAATTTTAGATGTCCAGTTATATTAAATAAATACCTGCCTGTTGAATTGGGTTTCTCTTACTTGTGGTCAAAAATATCCCCATCATACAACATTGTAGTATATACTTCTCTGAGTTTGCTTTTCTCTCTTAACAATAGATTATGGCAATTCCTCCAAGTTATCTGACAGATAACTCCCTCTTCTTCATGGTTACATAATAGTCCATGATATGCAAGGAGTCTCACTATTGATGAGAATTCACTTTGTTTCCAGCTTTTCCCCCTACTACAATGTTGTAATAAATACCATTGTGTGTGTGTGTGTGTGTGTGTGTGTGTACACATGTAGGCATACCTAGTTTAATTGGACTCCACGGAGATTGTGTTTTTTCCCACACTGGAGGTAAGGCTACCCACAAAAAGATTCTGACTCACTGAAGGCTCAGATTATGGTTAGCATTTTTTAACAATAGAGTATTTTGTTGTTGTATATTTTTCCATTGATTTTTAGATAGAGTGAAAGGGAGGGCGGGAGAGAGAGAGAAAGAAACATCGATGTGAGAGAGAGACACTGATTGGTTGCCTGCGACAGGACCCCAACCAGGGCCAGGACTGAACTGCAACTGAGGTACATGCCTTTGACCAGAATCTAACCCACGATAATTTGGTCCGCTGGCCAATGATCTAACCGCTGAGCCACACTGGCCAGGGCTATAAATGTGTTTTTAAAAGTGTAGCCTCTTAGCGGTAGTCACTCCAAAGAAGTTTTTCCTTTAGTTCACAATGAGCTTATTAAGTCCTTTTTATAGTAACTGTCCTATTTAATTTAGATTAAGGTTCATCAGGAAAGGATTTAAACAGAATAAACTCCATTAGCAGCACTTCAAGTAAATTATAAGTTTCATGAGTACTAGGGATTATTATTAATATACAAGTCATTTTAAATTGTTTTTTCATTGGCACTGAGCTAATTCTGCAAAAGATATAAAGAAGTAAGATACTGGTACTTGCCCCAGCCAGTGTGGCTTGGTTGGATGGGCATCGTCCCATGCACCAAAAGGTTGCTGGTTCAGTTCTTGGTCAGGGCGCATGCCTGGGTGTGGACTCGATGCCCAGGTTGTGGTCTGGATCCCCAGTGGGGGGCGTTCAGGAGGCAGCTGATTGATGGTCCCCTCTTATATCGATGTTCCTCTCTTATATCCTCTTTTTCTCTCTTCCCTCTCCATTCATCACTTTCTAAAAACCAATAAAAATATTTAAAATATATATATACTGGTGCACATGCCCAGGTTGTGGGCCCGATCCCCAAAGGGGGGCATGCAGGAGGCCGCCAACTGATGTTCTCTGTCATCGATGTTTCTATCTCTCTCTCCCTCACCCTTCTTCTCTCTAAAATCAATAAAGAAAAAAAAATACTGGTGCTTGCCCTCACATAGTTTACTGTCTAGCTGAAGAGATAAGGTAAATATACACATGTGAAAAGGTAATTAACAATACAAGGCAGTGTATGACTGGTGGCAAATGCATAGTGTGTGTATGTAATTGTGTATATGTAAAGTGCTAGAGGAGTTCAGATGCAGACAAGATCTCATAACCTGAGTGCTCAGAGTTTGAGCTGGGCCTTAAAGGATAACCAAGATTTGAAAAGAGAAAGGAGGAAGGGGGGGAAAAAGGAGAAACATCTGTAACAAAAATAAATTAATTAAAAAAAAGAAAGAAAGAAAAGAGAAAGGAAAGCTTATTCCAAGTAGAAGGAAAACTAATGATAAAAGCCGGAAGTCAGGTCCTGGGAGTTTTGCAGAAATGGAGAGTTTATATAGAAGGGTTTAGACAGAAGACAGATTAGGGTCAGATTACGGAGGACTTTAGGGATTTAGTCCTAAGGAATTTGGATTGTGAACTCTTGGCAATGAGAAACCACTGAAGATTTCTGACTTGAAATAATGTTAGTGATATACAGTATTGGCTGAAGTTGGGAGGAAAAGGAGTCAGAAAGACCAACAAAGAAGTTCCTGCAGTGTCTAGGAGTAGATGATGGCCTAAACCAAAGTGGTGTCAATGGCAGTTGAAATGAAGAGACAGATGGAAGAAACATTCACAAGAAGATTTGGAAAGGCTCAGACTCAAACATGACTTCAATATTTTGATCTTCTGTAATTGGGAAAATGGTATTATTAACAGAACTAGGATGTCAGCAGGATGAGCTGTTTTATGTATAAGATTAGTTTATGTTCAGACTTGCTGAATTTAAGGTAACAGCAAGGCATCTAAGTAGAAACTAGTTTAGCAGATAGATATTTGGAGATGGGGATCTTGTCTTGGGAGGGGAGGTCAAGGCTAGGCCTAGATATTTCGGTGATATTATAGAAAGTAGAAGAGTTCTTCAAAGAAAAGAGCACAGAAATTGAGAACTAAACTAAAAGTGTACCTATATTTGATGTTAACGGGATAATTTAAAAATAATTTTTCTTTAAAATCTTCCTTTTAGCATTTTTCTTTCAGTTACTTTATACTTTGGGCTTTTAAAAATGCTTTCTCGTAGTGATGAATGAAGAAACCATAATGAAGAAATGTGTTTATTTTGTGTATGTTCCCGGGGATATTTACTAAAAGCATGTATTTTCACCTTTTTAGAGCTGTATTATAAAGCGGTACTGTGAGAAAAGATTTGTGTCTAAATACCTTGCAACAATTGGAATTGACTATGGAGTCACAAAGTGAGTATATTGTTTCTTTGGGCTTGTAAATGACATAGAAATTCAGAACCCTTTTAAAATGATCTGTCTTAAAATAGAGATTCTGAAGACAAATTGAGAAAGAATAGGAATGAGACCTTTACAGATATGTAGAGATCATAGCACCCCTCACTATCAGTTCCTATCAGTTCATCACTGAGCATGTTCTATTCTTCAGGCCTTGTGTTAGGTAGGGGATCTACAATGTCGAGCATGTCAACCCAGAGCCTAACCAGCAGGTGTCACTTTTCAGGAAACTTGTTTCTGTAGAAGGAGGTCCTATTAGCAGGTGTGTATTTAGAGCATTTTGAAATATTATCTCTAAAAAAGTGTAAAAATTATGTGGAAAATTTTCTATCGGAGAACCTTATTGATTTGTGATCTTTATAGCCTATTGGAGTTGAGAAAAAATGATCCAGGAAGAGTGAAATTGGGTATAATTAGGGATTTATTTGGAGAAAATCAAGAGTGGGTTGAGCTTGGGGAGATAGTAGTACATTATAGGTATAATTCTACTCTGCCAAAGAGTAGAATTGAGGTAGACAACACACTCTCTAAAGGTGGAATCTCAGGCACTCACTATTCTGGTCCCAGTCTACCCCCCCCCCCCCCACTTCTCTCTCATTGCATTCCTTTACACTTTTCTCTCCATCCATGAACTGCCATCATACCTTCCTAGCTTAGTGCAGTTATTCATTTTGCTCCTGAAAGGGTCTTTTCCCTCATCTCTCCACCTGTCAATCCCTTCAAGGTGTAAAATACTCCCATATAAGGCCTTCTGGACACCTCCTTTATCAGTCAGGACTCATTTTGGTTGCAAATGACAGAAATATTAAAATTGTCTGCTATTTATGGTACTTACAATAAATTGCCTTGTGTTGTTATTATTTGTATATATTTAATGTCCCCCACTAGATTATAAGCTCTGTGAAGAAGGGGCAATTAGTGTAATTACCTATGAGTGCCTGGCACAGTGCTTGTACATAGTAGATACTCAATAAGTAAATAAACTGTTTGCAAGATTAGAATATTAGAGCAACATTCAAAATGGTAGATAAAGTGGGGGAGGTGTTATATGTTTTTCAGGGCACAGTATTTCATCATTGATATGGTAGGATATCCTGTTTAAGGCAGTTTTGTTTTGAGTCATGTAAGTAGTTAGTATATTCATCTAAGAAATGAGAATCACCATATTATGCCCCAGAACTGTGGTTTATTCAACAGACTCTTCTGTTTCTGGCTGAAATTTTTTTGGGAGAAGATGGTCATCTCACGGTGAGTCAGGAGGATATAATTGACAGAAACCCAACTCAAAAGAATTCAGGCAAAATAATAAAAAGGACAATAATTCACATAAACCCATTATATAGATGTAGCTGGTCCTCAGAGGTGACTGGATCCAGGGACAGAATAGAACCAAATAATTTCACCACATCTCTCTCTCTCTCTCTTTGACTTTCTCTACACAGCTGCCAGCAGCTCTTGGGCTCAAATTGTAAGTTTTACTTTCAGAGAGAGAGCAAAACTAGTATTCCAAGTTTAAAAATTCCAGGGCAGGTTTGGGTTTCAGGGAGGGACAGATGCCTTTCCCCAGCAAAGGACACGGCAGAGCCCGGTTGAACCACCATTCGGAGAAGAAAGGGGTCGAGGAGTACTCCTTTGGCCCATTAAAATGATAGCTGCCCATTGCATTTGTCCTGTTTTCAGTAGGTAAAGCCCAGCTTTCAGGATGCCTAAGAATTACTTGGAGAATTTGTCAAAATGAAGATTCCTAGGACCCACCCACTGAGATTTTGACTCACTGGGTCTGAGGTGGGGCACAAGAATCTGCATTTTTAACACCAGCTCCCCAGTAGTTATGATGCAGATGGTCTTCAGGCCACAACTGAGGCAAGCCCTGCCTTGGGGTACTGAATTGGCATTTTTCTTAAGGTAATTTTCTCTGGCTTCTAAATTAAATTGACCTCCTTTGAGTGTCAATGTGTGAATCCACTTGTTCTCAAATGCTGTCTCTTCAAGGTGAAATTTTCTAATGTAAATTATTATATCAGATCTTCTCCAGATGCTCTTAAACTCTTACTGTTTTGTTTTTTGTTTTGCTGTTCTCACACAAATGTGTATCTTAAACTTGATGAAATACGGTAGATAATATAGCAATGGAGAAATCATGATAATATGATTAATGGTGGTTAGTTTTATTTAAATATACAAGTAATATAAAAATAAACTGTGGGAATTAGGGTTTCAGAACTGAAAGTAGATGTTATAAATTTGGACAGGGAATCATAACAATAAATAAATCAGAAGATAACACAGGGACAATGGGAGCCAAGTGCTGATGTCCTTGTATTCCACAGGAGGGAGTCGTATTAGTGCTATTGAAAATTGAAATGTGGTGTTTAAAAAAAAGACTCTCATTTGTTAATTTATTGTTAGTAAGCTCTATTCTTTAACCTTAGAAGAATCTTTTGGGAAATAGTATTTCTGTGGTGAGGGCGCATTTGTATTTAAAGGTCAATAATAATTCCTCCCAATTCACTTCAGTTTCTTTTTTTTCCTTCCTTCCTTCCTTCCTTCCTTCCTTCCTTCCTTCCTTCCTTCCTTCCTTCTTTTTTTGTTAGATTCAATGAAAGGTAAATTTTATGCTTTTCATTTCAAAATAGTATAAGCCCACATTAAAATATTTTTGTGTTAGTCTTATCTACACACAGAAAGAAGTCTGTAGTGATTTTAATCTATATTAATTAAGTTTTGTTCTGGGTGATATGATTTGGGTTTACTTACAAGTTTTCATCTTTTTCTTTTTCTTTAGTGTTTGAATTATTTCGATTATTTTATTCATTCATTTTCCAGTACTGATTTTTTTTTAAAAAGAAAAAAGACTAGAAACAAATATGCTGTGATGTTAACAGTAGTTAATTATAATATGAATGGTTGTTATTTCCCTTTTTGTTCTTTTCTCTATTTTCAAGTTTCTGAAAACAAATTGCTGTTGTTCAAATGAGGATCACAAGAAAATGAAACAGATGTTGTTAATAATATAATCTTTGTTATTGTTCTGCATGATGACCAAGTATAACCAGTAGTAATTAAGATGTCTTACTAAGGGAAATAAAACATTTTGTTTTTCTTCTTCTCATTCCTGCTTGTCCCAAATCAATTTTTCTTAGTACCATAGTAATAGTCACCATTTGTTAGTTAAGGGGTGTGGACTGAAGTTTCCTAAGGGAAGTTGAAGGTAAACAAGAGTGCTTACTCCAGGCGGGGTCAGTGTTGGTAAAAGAAGGAGGCAAGGTTATCTGCCAAGGCACTGGCTGCTGTTGTAAAGATTATCTGAAATCAGGAAGAGGCACTAAGAAGCCCTTTTAAATTTCATACACATACACTTTTGAAATTTATTAATGACAAATAATGTGAATGCAGAAACCATGACCTTCTTTGGGGTTTTTTCCATTTGAACATTTCAGGGTACAAATCAGAGACAGAGAAATCAAAGTTAACATCTTTGATATGGCTGGACATCCGTTCTTCTACGAGGTAAGAAAGAAAGCCTTTCTGAGAAAACCTATATGCAGTATTGTCAGTCGTGTAGGCAAAGATCCTGAATTATTTAAAATTACTCATATTCAAATTATGTGTAAAAATAGGTAAATGTAGCTGATATAAGACATTTTAACCTTCAAAGGACTGCTGCTTTTTACTTTATACCTTAGCCCAAAATGGATAATTGCATTCATGCGTGGACTTAAGAATTTGGTAACGTGACTTCTTTCCTAGCAGGTACCAGTGATCTTTCCGGTCCACTCCTCAGCCATGTGAGTTCTCTCCCCAGGGAGAACCCCGCCTGATTTACTTTCATCTATTTGTCAGTCCTAAGTAGTCTTAAAATGAACCTCATGACCATTCTCTTCTGTTTTTCCTTCCCTAGGCCTTTCCTTTTCCCTAAGGAGGCTTTTTGCTCTTCTCTAATTTGGCCATTTCACTTAAGTTCTTATGTTTATTATTCCTTTCTTCTGCTTTGGCTTATTTTGTTCTAGGTTCCTGATGTGAGAGCTTAGATTTTGTTTTTTAATCCTCACCTGAGGATATGGTTTTTGAAAATTGATTTTTAGAGAGAGGGGAAAGGAGGGGTAGGGAGGGAGAAAGAGAGAGAGAAAGAGAGAGAGAGAGAGAGAGAGAGAGAGATTGGGGGAAGAGAGAAACAGCAATTGGCCTCATGCATGCACTCCCACCAGGACAGAACCCGCAACCTGGGTACATGCCCTGACCAGAATCGAACCAGCAACCCTTTGTGCACAGGACAACACTCCAACCAACTGAGCCACCCAGCCAGGCCTGGGTTGGTATTTTTTCTAACACTTGAAAAATCCTCTGCCCTCCATGATTCTGATGAGAAATCTGCTGTCATTTGAAGTGTTTTCTTCCCTCTAAGAGGGGCATCACTTTTCTCTGGCTGCTTTCATGGTTTTCCCTTTGTCTTTCGTTTTCGAGGTTTAATTATGATGTGCGTTGGCATGGATGCCATACTGTATTTTTTCTGTTTGGGGTTTTCTCAGCTTCTTGAATCTGTAGGTTTATGTCTCCTGTCAAATTTGGGAAGTTTTTAGTCATTATTTCTTTGAGTACTTTTTCAGCCGCACCTTGTTTCCCCTCTTCTTGTTCTCATCTTGTTCGATTTATTTATCTATTTGTTTTTCTCTCTGTTGTTTAGATTGGGTGATTTTTATTGTTCTGCCTTCTAGTTCTCTGATGCTTTCCACTGTCCCCTCCATTTGTTGAGCTCAATTTTAAGCTTTTTAAAATTCTAGTTATTGTATTTTTCACTATTTTTCTAAAATTTTCACTCAGCCTTTGCTTGAGTGGGTGGGGTGGAGAGACAGAATGTTAAGGTGTCTAGCTGGAGTGAGCGGTTATCTTCTAAAGTTTTTCTTATCTTGTGAGGCTGCCTCTTTCTTGGTGTTTTGTGTTAAGAGAACAGGCTTTTGTTGGGCTTTCGTCTGTCTGGTCTGCCTGGTCTGTCTGCACGCTGTGGCAATTCCACGCCGGCTGCCTCGGCTCCAAGTCTTGGATGCGTGAGGCCTGAAAGCCCAGGAAACTTCCTGTTGTGTCATTCCTCGGGCCTGAGATTCCTAGCTGTCTGCCTTCTCTCCACCTTCCGGAGTCCTCTTATGTATGTTTTATATATGATGTCCAGGATTTTTACTAGTTCTTAGCAGGAAGAGCAGGGAAAAGTACATCTATTCCATCTTTCTGGAGGAAACCTAACTTTTCATTGCTGTAAAATCTCTCATCTTGTGAATATACCTAAAATATTTAAGTAAAATGAATTCCTTTTAAATGTGAAGTCTTACAGCGGGTTAAATCAATTTCACAAGTGTAGACTATTGTTGGTGGAAAAGCATGGGGGCTCTAGATGACCTCAAGTTTGACATCTGACTACCAGAAATTCTAACAAAACCTTAGACTACACCAAATCGTGTAAAATGGAGCATTAGAGGAAACCTGAACATGAACATGGTCCAGACCCCTGCCCGTTATTGGGTTTCTTTCTGTAGCATCTGATGGTCGTCATTCATTCACGTCAGCACTGGAAATACACAGCCCCTGTTCTCATGGAATCTAAATTTGTCAGAGAAATGTTAAATGGGTGACAGAATGCTTGGGAACACTTAAAACCCAGACCTGGCTCAGCTAGGAGGAAGCAACAATTAAACTGAGTGTTGATGGACAAGTAAGAGTTACATAGGTTGGTGGGAATCCAGGGACAATTAATACACAGGACAGTTTTGAGTGGTGCAGACTCGTGAGGGTTTGGAGAATGAGTATCTCTAATGATGGGGTCTCACTGCTTCAGAAGTTAATACTTTATAGAGTGAAAAACTCTAGATTAACAACTTCACCTTTACGAAACCTGCCATCCTTTGACTTTCGCCACTGATTTCTCCTTGTTTTTGAAGCAACATGGACCGAGTTTGTTCTACAAGAAAGCCTGCCTAATATTTATTCATTTGTTCCTGTCCAGCTAAAACTTTTTTTTTAAATTCCTGCCACAGCTAGATCTGTTCGTATCCTTTGCGGATAAACTCTCATTAGCCTATAGGGAGCTGAGAACTGAGCACAGCATTCCACATGTCTAATAGTGAAAAACACTGAGTGTTCTGTTACCTCTGCCGTTAGACACTAGACTCTTCATAACACAACCTGAAATTGTAAGAGCTTTTTTCCAGCAGCTTAAAAAATGGTAGTGTAATTAACAGAAGCTCCTGAAACTATCACTTCTGAAGAAGCTTTTCTCTGAAATAGCCTTGACCTCTCCTTTTTTTTTGGTTAAATATTTGCTGTCTGGAGCTCAAACCCTCATTGTTACTAGACCAGAGCCACCATCTTCTTTAAAAGCTCCAGGCTGACCAGAGTATACCTTGCTCAGCACACAGCCCAGGAAGCACACTCGGCCCTGGCTGTGATCGCTGGCGTTCTCACATCCTTGTCGCCGGTCCTCCAGTGAAGCCTCCATGGTCACAATTCTCTGGACAGGCTAACCCACAGGCCTACTGCAAAAGGACAGTGTGCTTAGTATGTGAGGTAACCACGTCAGGGGACAGTACCCCCAAGAGCACCACCAGGGAATGGTGGGGCCTGTCTCCTCCCACCCGTCTTGCTTCCACTGGGGTTTAGTTTATTGGTGTGAGTTTGAGGGACCACAGAAACTTTCTGAAGCCTGAGTGATTAATCTAACAGCTTTTTCTAACCTATAAACTAGAAAGTTTGCCATCTTTGCTTTGAGAATGAAATAATCCCAGTTCCTGTAGCATCCTATTTAATTAAACTTTGGATGGAGCAAGTCTGCAAGACTAACCTTAGAAACCTGTTGGGGGTGACAAGAATCATAGAGTGGCAGGTAACCACTGAGACATTGACTTTGACTTTTTCATTTTATAACTGAGGAAACTAAGGCTTGAGGTAATAAAATCACTTACTCAAGATTATTGTCTCTTTTTATACACAAATCTCCCTCTGGACAGCATGATCTACATTTTGAAATTCTTTTCCCCTTTGGCCTCTATTTTGTTCTCTCTCATAGCACATTCAGCCGTTTGACTAAACACATGTGTCTCAGATATGGCCACTTCCCAGGCTCTCTGGGTGACACGAAGGTGTCAGGTACAGTCTTCATGTTGCTTACAGTCTGGTGCAGAGACAGCCGACATACCGCGCTCACTGCACAACTCACAGGACGTGCCGTGAGCACTGTGAGGAGCACAGAGTGCTGTGGTTTCTAGGGGGTTAGAGATGACATTCTGTTTGCAGAGGTGAGGAGTTAGATGATGAGGAGCAGGGCAGGAAAGCTACACAAACAATATGGTGTTATAACTAGCCCTTGAGAGACTGAAGATAAAGAGGTGTCCATTTGCCAATGGAATTAGGAAGGCACAGGTTAGGTTCGGGGTATGAGAGATTGTCCAATTTGAAGTACAGGGTGAGTAAGAGGAGGATAAGACCAAAAAGTTGGGGAGGGGAGGGAACTAATCAGAAACTTTTAACGTCAATTTTGAGAGTTTGAACTGTGGGGAGTGGAGAAACTAAAGAATTTTTGAGCCAGGGTTTTAAAAAGATGAATATGCACCGTGTACAGTGTTGCTAGGGAGATTACTTAGAAGACTTGCAGAGATAATGTTGGCAGTGAAAATGGAAAGGAAGTGACAGGTGCAAGAAATATGACAGAGGTGGCTTCTGCAGGATTGTTTGAATCTGCTGAGCAAAGAGAGGAAGGACAAAGGTTAACACCAGGCTTTCAGCCCAAACGACAGAGAATGGTCTGCTATGTTCAGCACTAGAAGTTCAAGAGAAGGAAAAGTATAGAAAGGAATAAGTTGGAGGGTTTCCTGATGTACCTGTAGAATTTGAAATTCTTACAGGACCCTCAGCTAGAAGAGTCCAGAGCTCCTTGGAAATGCAGGTCTGGAAGCAGAGATGAAAGGGTTCACCTTGGAGGCTCTCCCAGTTGAAACTGTGAGTGGTTGACGCTGCTGAGTTGGGAAGAAGGAAAAGAAAAGAAGAGGGCCCAGGACAGGGTTTGGGGCGTTATGGAGGCAGGTCGGAGTGGGAACCACGGACAGAAGAGGAGCTGGTGAAAGAGGGATCCGTTGAGAACCTGGGGAATGTGGTGTATGGGGGCCAAGGCGGCAACGTTTCGGAAACGGCGGGAGAGCCCCGTTTTCACCACTGCAGGCGGGCTACGGACCACGCATATGAGGGAGCAGACTCCTCGTCGCTATCATTTTAAATTCTTACTGATTTTGTTGGGTTTAGTTTTAGGGGATAGCTGTCTATGTTTCTGCTAATTAATACGCAGAATTGGTCCAGGTGTCTGTGCTCAGAAAACTATAGTTACTTCCAGTCTGATGTGTATAAGATGTCTTTATTTCTTTTTTTTATCCTCACCCGAGGACATTTTTCCATTTTTTGTTCAGATAGAGTGGGAGGGAGAGAGAGGAACAGAGAGAGAGAGAGAAACATCGATGTGAAAGGAACACATCGAGTGGCTGCCACCCGCACAACCGACCAGGGCCAGGGACAAACTGCAACCGAGGTACGCGCCCTTAGCGGGAACCGAACCCGGGTCTCTCAGGACCGCAGGCCGACGCTCTAACCGCTGAGCCAAACCGGCCAGGGCAGATGTCTTTATTTCTTACTGCATATCCAGTGTGAGTCTGAGAGCATGCGGGAATACTTTGGAAAGAATGTATGTTGCAGTGCCTCTGTCACTGAAACCCCGAAGCTGTCAGTGCTGCTCTCGCCCTCGCCATCTGTCACTGCCTCTGCCACTTCAGTGCCCTGTACTTCATGCTGCCTCTGCCCAGAATTGAGGGTGCGCTCCAGAGTGAGTTACCATTCTGATGAAAACATGGAAGGAGGACAGTGAGAGAATGGATGCAAGGAAGGAAGGGAGAAGGTGCTAATACACTCTGTTTTCTGGGCACAATATGGGTGATTTGCCTTCATCATCTCATTTATTCTTCATAATAAATAACCTTGTGGAGTAAGTAGTATTATCCCCATTTTACAGATGAGGAAACTGAGATGCAGAGAGGTCAAGTGGCTTGCCCAGGATCACACAATAGTAAGCATGAACTCAGATCTGTCTGACTCCAGAGCCTGTGCTCTTTTCCGCTGCATTACACTGAGGCTCTGAGCTTGGAATCTGAAGTCGGTGTACAGATCCAAGTCCTAGGGCCCTGCGGAAACTCTGCCTAGCATCCTGGGAAAGCCGACTTTGGGATGCCATGTCTAAATGGCTGTGCCTATTGCTGATATTTGTGTCATTTTTGCCTTAGAGTCTTTTTAATTGTTCACTTACCTTCTGTGTTCTTCCTGAGAAGAACTTGATGTAATTTGTATTCTTTTAAGTTCTGCTAACAACACTTAAAGATTGATTGTCTCTGGGGAATGGAACTGGAGGTGAGGAAGGGTAGGGCAGGAGCCTGTTGTTTCCATTACAAGCTCTTTTGTACTAACAGATTTTTTTTTATCATGCTACTTAGATTTTGTAAAAGACCAGCAGATATTGAGATACAGCAACAAATATGAATACACAAAAGAACATACTTTGCTAAGTTAATGACTGTGCAATATATTTTTATAAAATCACAACCCCCCCAACTTGCTATTTCAGATTTTGTGCATCTGTTCTTTTATGTGAAGGTTCGTAATGAGTTTTACAAGGACACACAGGGTGTGATACTGGTCTATGATGTTGGGCAGAAAGACTCCTTTGATGCCCTTGATGCGTGGCTGGCAGAAATGAAGCAAGATCTTGGACCTCACGGAAACATGGAAAATATTGTATTTGTAGTGTGTGCCAACAAGGTAACTGCTTTGGAAATGGTATGCTCAACTTTCTAATTTATTATAGGAAGAGTGCAGTTCTGAGTTTGGGGGAACTTAAAAATAAAAGAAAAATTCCCTATTCGGTAACAGAGGAATCAACAACTTTTCAAAACATATGTCCCCAAAACAAGAGCAACAACAACAAACAACAAAGCCTGGTGTATCAGGATTTTTATCCATTTTTGTGTCTGGTTCGGTGCTTGGGGAATGACGTTGGTGACTGAGCCGGAGAGGTGTGTCCTAATGATCACCCTCTGACCTGAGTGGAGGAGGGGTGGTAATTAGGCACAGTGTGGTCTGTGGCAAGGTATGAAAAGCAGACCATAGCCCCTTGAATGTGGCAGACATGAAGCCAGCTTTCCGAGAGGTGAGCAGCAGCATTTTCTCAAGGGACAAAGTGGGGAGTGCAGTAACAGGCACTTGTTCTGCCACAGAAATCACTCCACCTTCAACATTAGTCATTGTTTTGGCCCTTTTGGTCCTGGTAATTTTATGTACTAGTGTTGGGGTTCATTTAAGAATAGTAGTTGCTTAGTCAGGGATTGACAGGCCTCACTGGGCCTTCTCTGGTGGGACAAGGTTGGCATCTTCTCTGCCCCTCAATTTACTGTTTCAGATCGACTGTACCAAGCACCGCTGTGTTGATGAAAGTGAAGGGCGTCTCTGGGCCGAAAGCAAAGGGTTCCTGTACTTTGAAACTTCAGCACAAACTGGAGAGGGAATTAATGAGATGTTCCAGGTAACTCAGAATTTTGTTTTAGAATTTGTGTCAAGGCTGCTCATGCCAAATTTTAGTTTAAATGATGAGAAGGTAAAGAATTTCTCATTAGAATAAGCTCACTCTTTTCAGAAGCTGGAGAGAGAAAGAGAGGAGGAGAAAGAATATGAGTATGAGTACGTGTGTATGTGTGATATCTCTCTGCTGTCTATTTTAGGCCAGACCTGGCTGATCATCAGAATTACTTGGGGAAATTCTACAAAATACAGATTGCTGGGTTCCAGACCTACTGGAAGCTTAATGTGATGGAGCCAGGGATCTGTATTTGGAAAAGCTTTCTAGGTGATTCTGATGATTATCAAGTTTAACAACAGTTATTATACTTAAGTGAGACAAAGAATTTCTTCCAAACTACCTTTGGTTACATCTGTATGCATAACCAAATGGAAGTGTTACTTTAGGAGAATTGCCTTACCATAGCTAAGATAATTCTATATTGTAGCCCATGCGGATGCAGTTAGCGAATAGGAGACTATCATTGCAGAATCCAGCCAGTCACACATGAACATTAGGACTCACCTATCAAGTAGGCAATAGAGAGATGTATTCATTCACATTGCAACTTGAATAAATGGTCACTTTTTAAAATTTACTAATCTTGAATAATTTTTAAGGGGAGGGGACTATTTAAACACTAAATTATAAAGTCAAATCAACTCTTAATGATAGATCTATTTGGAAGTAAGTGGTGGCATGAATAATGCATTTTTTTCTTATGACTATGTCTCATATTTTGGGAATTTTTAGCATTTCAAATAATGTAGCTATACTATAAAGTGTTCTTAATTATTGAGTGGGATTTTACTTAATCTTTTATGCTGAATTTTCTTCTCACAAGCTGTCACCCCTCCTATTAGAAGACAGGTTTCATCCTCACTGACAGGCTAAGTCGGGCGCCAGTAGCCTTCTATTTCAAGACCAAATAAGGCTGCTATTGGTTTGTCACATGTCTGTTCTTTTGAGTTCATAGACCTATGTGGGTTTGCACCTATATATGTGCAATGATAATACTTAAACATTGGAATAGTGTTTTACAATTCTGGAGGAGTTTACATATTTCATCATGTTTAAGACTCTTAACAATGTGTGGCCGATACCATTCTCATTTCAGATAGGAGGGCACCTAAGAGTAGTAGAGATTTGTTCAACAGCTATAAATAATAACTGTTAGAGGTTATATCAGCTCTTTAAAGATGATAGTTCATTCTCTTTCTCTTTTGGTCTCTATTGTGTCTCCTGAGATGTTAGCACCCGTCTTCATTCTTACTCCTTTGTGTATAATGTCGTTTTTCCCCTTCAGCTGCTTTTAAGAGTTTCTCTTTCTCTTTGGTTTTCAGCAGTTGTGCTGTGTGCCTACATGTCATTCTTTTTACATTGATCCTACTTAGGTCTTGTTGAGTTTCTCAGATTGGTGTGCAGATGTTTTTCTTGAAATTTGGGGAGTTTTTTGTTTTTGTTTTTTTACCTTTTTTTATATTGGCTCTGTTCTCACTCTCTTTTCTGTGTGGGATTCCAGCAACATATTAGATCATTTGATTTTGTCCCACTCCTTGAGACTGTGTTTATTTTTATTCATGTTTTCTCTCTGTTTTTCAGATTGCAGGGTCTCTATTGCTCTGATTTCAATCTATTGTTAAATCCACTGAGAGAATTTTTCGATTCAGTACTTTTCAGTTCTAGAATTTGCATTTGGTTCTTTGTGTAGTTCCCAATTCTCTGCTGAGATTCTCTGTCTCTTCACTCATTAAGAGTATATTTTCCTTTAATTTTTTAAATCATATTTTCCTTTACCTCTGAAATATTTGCTTTTTAAAAAAGAGTTACTGGAATATATTAAAATTCTTTAAGTTGATCTTAAAAGGAATTCCTATTTTCACAAAATCAGTTCTACTGTGGGATATGTTTTCTCTTTGCAGACCTTTTATGCATCCATAGTCGATTTATGTGACAATGGTGGGAAACGTCCTATCACAAATAGCAGTGCTAGTTTCACCAAAGAACAAGCAGACACCATTCGCAGAATTCGGAATAGCAAAGACAGTTGGGACATGTTGGGAGTCAAACCTGGGGCCTCAAGGTAAGCAGTGCTCTATGATATTAGTGCTGGATTCTAGTATAGAGAAAGGCACAACTGTCAGCATTACAGCTGCAATATATCTTCTTTTGATTGCCTAGAAATGTGAAGGTGTGTAGAAATAGATTACTTAATAACGACCTTTCACTGAATTAGAAACACCTTTGCTTCTTTGGTATTCAGTTGATGGCAGTTGCCTGATGTGGGAACTTGTAGTGTATCTGTGTACATTACTTGCTGAAATGGTATGCTCTGCGTTGTTGAATAAGAACCTTGAAGGTAATGTAACCTTAAAAAATACCATACAAAAGGGAATTCTTAAATTATAGAATTTTAGAGGAGGAAAGAATGTTAGCAATCAACTTATTCAAACATTTCATTTTATAACTGGGAACACTGGGACTTAGTGAGACTCAACACATTCAGTAACCTCAAGAGTTAGTGGTAGAATTGGTTCTTGACCCTGAACAGTGTGTGTGTTTATGTCTCAAAAAATCCTGCTAGTTCCTCATCTGTGTGTGTTTATGTTGTTTTATTTTAGCCAAAATAATTATTTGGGAGAAAAAGAAATATAATCACTACTCTTTGTTGCTTGTGCAAGAATAAATCATTGTTCAGCCCTGGCCGGTTTGGCTTAGCGGTTGGAGCGTCCGCCTACGGTCCGGAGAGACCCGGGTTCGGTTCCCGCTAAGGGCATGTACCTTGGTTGCAGTTTGTCCCCGGCCGTGGTTGGTCGTGCGGGTGGCAGCCACTCGATGTGTCCCTTTCACATCGATGTTTCCCTCTCTCTCTCTTCCTCTCTCTCCCTCCCACTCTGTCTGTACAAAAAATGGAAAAATGTCCTCGGGTGATGATAAAAAAAAAAAAAGAATAAATTGTTCTTCAGTATAGTTGCATAACTTTTTTACTCCAGTTTTATTGAAATGTAATTCACATACAACATTGTATAAGTTTAAGGTGTACAGCCTAATGATTTTACTTATATATTGTGAAACAGTTACAAGTTTAGTTAATATCCATCATCTCATATAGAAAAAAAAGAAAAGGTTTACATTGTAATGAGAACTCTTGGGATCTACTCTCTTAAGAACTTTCAGTGTTTAACATAACTTTTTACTATATAATACTGCTGTTACTATGCATATTATAATTTATAAGAATTCTCAGATCTTTTTTTTTTTTAATCCTCCCCTGAAGATATTTTTCCATTTATCTTCAGATAGACTGGGAGGGAGGGAGGGAGGGAGGGAGAGAGAGAAAGAGAAACATCGATGTGAGAGACATGCATTGACTGGTTGCCTCTAGAAAGACCCCGACCAGGGTGGGGGACTGAACCACAACCAAGGTACATACCGTTGACCAGAATTGAACCCAAGACTCTTTGGTCTGAGGGCTGATGCTCTATTTGTTGAGCCAAACCCACCAGGGCAAGTTCTCATATCTTTTAATTTTGCACCATAGCTTTCGTCTCCATGGTTCTCCCTTTCTACTTTTTCATCTCAATTCTCTCTCTCTCTCTCTCTCTCTCTCTCACACACACACACACACACACACACACACACACACACAGAAGTACATATTAAAATTGCCTTGTGGCATCAACAGCATTAAGTATCTCCTCCATTTTGGTCTCATAGCATATCTTTAAGTCCAGAAGGAGAGAAGGAAGGGGGAGGGGAAGACAGTTATTGGTCACCTCGACTTGCCAGGCATTACTGAGGATGCTTTAAATACACAAAGGAATTCAGATGACCTCATGTACAAAGTTAATTGGTATCTTTTAAATGTCCTTGTATTTATTTGTTTTTTTAATTTTATTTCATTTCATTTCATTTTTTCCATCACCATTTATCCCTTCTATGCCTTCTTCCACCTCTACCCCCTGCCCCCCACCGCCCCAATCACCACACTGTTGACTTCCTTGTAAATTTCCATGGTTTCATTCTAAATTCTTCCATTACATCCTCAACAGATAGTGGCTCTAAAACTAAGAAACTATTATTTTTCTTATTAATTAACTTAGAACAATACTTATTAAGGAAAAATAAACTTTGTGTTTTTTTGTTTTTATGGGGGTTTTTTTAGAGAGAGAAAAGAAGGGAGAGAGAGATAGAAACATAGATGGGCTGCCTTCTGCACACCCCCTACTAGGGATCAAGCCCGCAACCCAGACATGTGCCCTGACTGGGAATCGAACCAGAACCTCTCAGTCAATGGGATGACGCTCAATCCACTGAGCCACACCGGCCGGGCAAACTCTTGTTTCTTATTTATTCACTGTGGTTAATTGGAATCTACCAAAATTTAAAGGACCTCCATAAGTTCCATGCTCTTAAACTAATAGAAACATGTACTTTTTTTTTATCCTCACCTGAGGACATTTTTTTTTGCATTTATCTTCAGATAGAGCAAGAGGGAGAGAGGGAGGAAGAGAGAGAGAGAAACATCGACATGAGAGAGACACATAGAGTGGTCGCCACCCACACGACCCCAACTAGGGCCGGGGACAAGCCGCAACCAAGGTACGTGTCCTTAGCGGGAACCAAACCCGGGACTCTATGATTCATGGGCCGATGCTCCAACCGCTGAGCCAAACCGGCCAGGGCAAAACATGTACTTTTCTTACCTTTGTTCCTCTGAGTATGTCAAACTAAATTTGTATGGCACTGAATATATTTAGGCAAAACCTAAAAACATTTTTTGAGTCAGAGAGAGTGTTAATGTTTGTTCAGTTCTGTTTACTATTCTTGAACTTTAAAAAAATCTTCATCTTCAGTGGAATTAATATATTTCTTACACACTTGACTCAGTCCTGTTTCTTCAAAATTTTTCTGGAAAGTCTCTCCTGCTACCCAGAATGCTTACAAGGCACTCTTACTGCAGAGGCCCAGGCCTGACTACGAACCCCTAGGGACATGTCCCTCAGGAAGCAGGCGGCCAGAGGGGTTCTGCCCAGGACTCACTCAAGGGGAAGAGGGAGGATGTTGAACCTGCCTCAGATTTAGAGTCTTTTAGGGAGAATGTGGTTCTTGTTAGCTAATATCAAAGTTATCTGTGTAGAAAAGCTACATGCAAGATTAAAATAACAAAATTCAGGACTCCCCTCAGAGCAGAAAACAGAAAGAGCCTTAGAATGTATGCTCAGGGCACGGTCTCTGTCTCTCCAAGCTGACACGTAAGACTTTGTTACATCAAGATGTCAAAGACCATCTCCCTAATTTGCAAAGTCAAACTGGAAGTCCTTCTGACAAAAATTAAAGGTGAAAAGCTAGGGCCATCTCCAGGCTTATGGGGTAACGGGAACCCTGAGTTACAACAGGAAGGTAGAAGATAAAGCCATCTGGTAGAGACAGAGCCAGGGTAGTGTCTGGGCATTGAGAAGCCTCTCAGAGGCCTGGCACCCGAGGATGATGATGAGCAGGGAAGGTTAGAGGGACAGATGGTCTCCAGGCTTCTCCCCAACCAGTTCCTGCTCACTGAGGAGCTCAGAAGCCTCAGGTTCTCTCCTGGAGCTTTGCTGGTCTTTGGAGAAATAGTCACTGTTACTGCTTCTTTCCTGACTGGATAATATTAATTTCTCTCTTCTTCTTTGGTCTCAGGGAGCTCACTGTAACTCTCAGCCCTTTCCATCCCCCTTTCCTGGTCTTTGGTGTCACCGTCTTCCCCAGGCCTCGGATTCCCCATGAAACTGGAATTAATTTCAGCCCTTTTTTTTTGTCTTATCCACTTGTATATCTGGCTCATCATCTGCTTCTGCAAATTCTTGCTATGTATTATCTCTTTTATCTTCCCTTCCACAAACACCATAATCTAAACTCTCATACGCAAGCTTGGGTTATGGAAACAACCTCCTGCCTGTCTCCTAACTTTAAGAAACAGCACACCCAGCACCATTTTGTCATGAAATGCCTCCTATTGTTATTGTGTATCAAATCCAGTTTTCTGTTGTTTTGCCTTCATGGACTTTCACTTACTGACCCCTGCTCCCTGGCCTACTTGGTTTCTTGTCCTTCCCAGCAGTTTCCTCATGGAACTACACGCCGTGCCCACACTCTGTTCCCAGCCTCTGCCAGTTCTCTCTCCGTTGCTCTGTGTTTCTCCACCCGTGTTAATCCCCAAGCCCCAGCTTCCAGAGCTCTAGTCCAGGGGGCCTGCCCTGACCACCCTGTGCCCTCATTGCCAAAGTCAGCAAAGACTTGCTGAGTGCCTGCCAGGTACCAAGTACTGTGTGTTTTCATCTCATCATTCCCTTACTCAGCATTTTCTTAGTGTTCATATACTCATTTTGCATTGTATTTTTTCCTACTAGTATGTTACATATTATTTCTTTGTTGTTTGTTTCCTAACCCTACCTTTGGAAAGAAAGGGTAGTATTATGGGGTATGCTTGCTGTAAGAGCTATTACGTTGTCCAAACAGCTACATGCAGTGCGTGGGGCGGGCCCTGTCGCTGACATCGACCTTTCTCCTTCTGCAGGGACGAAGTCAATAAAGCCTATCGGAAACTGGCTGTGCTACTGCACCCTGACAAGTGTGTGGCGCCCGGCAGTGAAGATGCCTTCAAAGCGGTTGTGAATGCCCGGACAGCCCTCCTGAAAAACATCAAGTAGGAAGTGGAAAAACAGACGAGTGAGGGGCTCCGTACAAACTGACTTTCCCTGGAGGTAAAGCAGCCAACATGGATTTTCCTCCACAGAATCTCACTGCTCTTTTCACTCATGTTGTCATCGGCGAATCAGTAGGCCAGGTGCCTGTTACCATTTCACAGAGGGAGGAGGTGCAGAGAACCAAGTGCCACCTGTACACCATAGCTCATTCCACATTTCCAGAGGGAAATCAGTGCTCCGTCAACCCCTCACTCAGGAAAGTCCATGAGGCTACTGGAGGGGGGAGGACAGGAGGACCCTTTCACCTTTTCTTTCCTATTTTTTTGTTTGTTTTATTGAGGAAGGGAGGGGGGGGGAGAGAGAGAAACATCGATGAGAGAGAACACCGATTGGTCGCCTCTTGCATGCCCCTCACTGGGGATTGGGTCCACAACCTGGGCATGTGTCCTGACCAGGAATCGAACTGGGGACCTCTTGGTGCATGGGTCAACGCTCAACCAATGAGCCACACTGGCTGGACTTTTTTTTTTTTTTTTTTTTTAATTCATCTTCAGAGAAGGAAAACAGAAGCAGACATCAAAACCCATGAAAGTTTGGCATGACCTCACAAGCAAGTTGCTCCTTTTCGAATGAGATCCTTGGGTAGTCTGATAATTTTAACCATCGATCTAAAGTAAATGAACTCTTAGCACTCCTTTGGAAAGCTTGTGGAACAAAATGATACAATTCTGAAATGAGCAGCCCTTTACGACATTGAGTGTGTTTCCCTTCTCCAACCACCAGGGGGAGAGACGAGCCTATCCTAAGGAATGAAAGCGATGGCAGCCACACTTCTGGGTACAGGCTGGGGCTAGTCATGCCCCTGGATCTGAGGCCTTTCCCTGGCTGTGGAACTGGGTGCTGGGTGCTGTAGGGAGCATCATCACCCAGGAATGAGGAATCAGACCCAGACAAGTGCTTGCAGGTCGTTCTGGACTGTGCATCATCCCCAGAGGCACAGCCAGCCTGGTTCAGCCACGTTCGATATATTAGGGAGCCCCCATATGAGGCCTATGCCTCCTCTTGTCTCTGTATTGTTTGCCGCAGACAGGTGGGAAAGGCAGGGATGCTTCAGAACAAGCCAGGTCTCTTTGCTTCCTCATCAGCGTGAGTTCTCTCTTCTCTTCCCTTCTTGCTGTTTTATACATCACGTCTGCCATCATTTCTCGCTTCTTGAATCCCTGGCTTCCACCCACTGCTGCCTCCATCCTCCCTTACAAGGCTTGTCTCTGGTTGACCAGAGACAAGTGTGGGTCCTTTGAGTGGTGGTGGACGAAGAGATCTTAAAGCCTGTGTGGGAGGAATCTCCCATCATTTTGCTTGGGTTCCAAATTTCTAAATAGTAATATTTTTTAACTACATATTATGAAAATAAGGTCACATAGAGAAATACGCTTTCTGCCATAGTCTCCTCCTCAGTGTCTAAGGGGTGGGTGAAGTTCAAGTGTCGGGCCTGGCCTTTCCCTCAGAGCTCCTGCAACTGTTCTCTCCACTGGCTTGTCACCTCCCCACTTTCATTGTGATGCTCATGTTTTTAGCTGTGACCACTCTGCACTCATCGAGGCTTGAGGGTACATAAAACGTCACTGTCTAAATTTTAACCAGCTATTCCATACTGCTCGCCAGGTAGCATACCGTACACCTACGGGGACAAGCCACTCCCGCGGCACCACCCGCTGCAGCCCTGTGGGTCGCCCACGCAAAGCAGCCATTCCTGTGGCCGCCCTGGGCTGCATGGGGCTTGTTGCAGGAAACCAGAGCATGTTTTCCAGCGTGAGTTCTCTTCTCGGGGAGACTGCAGATGCCTTTTTTAATGAATTGTGGTCTGAGACAACGATTCCTTGTGGGATTTTTCTCTGGCCTTTTAATTTTAACTAGTTCTAGGACCGCAGAATTCTAAAGTTCTTCTGGACCTAAATGTTGCTTAAGGCCTTCATCATGCCTCCAGTAATTAAACATCAGTCTGTTCTTACTACAGAATTTAGGAGTCGTATGAATGAGGAAATAATGCATGGTAGTGTCAGCCCAAATTGACATGACAGCTCACTGAGTGTGTGGCCCTGTATAGAAAGCTGGTGCTAGTTTTTATCACTGTCATTAAACACTGGGTTGGTCACCTCATTCAGCTATAGTGTCAGTGTGCTGATGAGCAGTCACAACAGAGAGTTCTTTAGGGCTTCCATTCATATCTTATGTAACTTAGCCTAACCTTGATTCTTAGGTCTTGGGACTCAGTTCCCAGCACCCTCATTATGAATGTCAAGTACAGCCATATACTACTTCATTTGTGGAAAAGAAAGAAAAGAAGAAAGTGACGTTTCAGGGTCCTAGAATTTTTCTGATTTCCATAATTCTGAGTAGAATATCAAAAGATAATGAAGCATGATCTGCAATGAAGTTTTTTTGGTACCAACTTCATACAAACTTTACAGACCTCTGTGCATTAATTAATTTAATTTATTGGTGCACATATGTCCTTTGTAGTTCAACCTTAAGATTATTCAGCCAGTTAGGATTTCAGAAAACATCAGTAAGAGTAACAACTAGCAGAATAGTTTCAATGGCTAAAAAAATTTCTGTAGAGAATCTTATTCTTCAAAAAGGAATAAAAAGTTTGAACAGCTATTATTAAAGAAAAGCCATTTCTTCACGTCTGAGTCACCAAGAATGAACACTTTTAAAACTTGTTAGAAATACCTGGAAGTATTTCACATGAAGCGTCCAACATACCACGCACTTTAGAACACACCTGCCTTTCATTCCACTGCTCCCCTTTCCCCCTCCTCCTGATGTCCTCGTTGTCAGCATCTCTGTTACTTCAGCGTTGTCGTTTACTTCTGCGCATACGTGTGTCCTGGGTTTTGTCCGTCTGTTACCGTAACGCTCACCTGGGGTGCTGTGCTGCTGCCTGCCATGGACTGCTGATTCTACAGCTCGCATGGTCCGCAGGCTCTCCTTGACCTCAGGAAGCTTCCTCTAGTATGTGCTGAGCATTGAATTCTCAACTGGTAAATGTTTCTGCCCATAAATGATACCTACTTCACGATTGGTTAAGTGAGCCATAGAGAAGGCAGCTAAGTTTCTGAAAGAAAGCCCCCCCCGCCCCGCGGGTGTGCAGCACTAGCATTGAGGTCACTGCCCCTCACAGAACAGACGGGGGAGGGGAGGGGGGTTTCCGTTTCCGGTTGGAGAGGGCGGGGCTGGTGCGCACTGTGACAGTGCCAGTGCCTCCTTCCCAGTCACTCCGGTGGGCTCTGGAATGCTCCCGTTCACTGCACTCCATCCAGCTCTCTGGGTCTGCCAAAGATTTGGCAAAACTTTAGAAAATTATTTTAGCTGCAAACTTTAGCTAACTACCTTCCATCGCAAGATTTGCAGAGTAGAAAGAGGTCCATACTTCTTGTGATTGGCATTTAGCTCTAAGACACAGTTGATACTACTTATACTTTGGTTTTTCCATGAAGCATCTCTAGAGAAAACGGAAGTTTAAACCGGTGATGTGAATACGTTAGCTTGTCTAGCAAGCAGGGCAGTGTCAGGCTGTACAGCGAAGGCCCTTGGGTGAAGACTTGGAGAGCTGGAGTCTGAGTTAGCTTCCTGCATTGGTTGCCCCTTGACTGTGAATGCAGTCTCCAAACAAACCTTTTGCTCTTACGAGGTGATTTACATACTCGCTTTCTGTTGAAATGACTGAAAATGTTAAACTAACAGTTGCTTATGTCTTGTATAGAGAGTGTCATATGTATTTAAGTTGTGTATTTTTATAAAGTAAAGCCAAATATTAAACACTGGTCTGTGGGCGCACTTACTTGTTGAAATTGGTCTTGAACATAAAACACGTTAGTCTAGAAGCCGGTCTAGTTCCTCATCAACTGAGACCTTAGAAAAGACATCTGGGTTTAGTTTCCAATTGGTAAAATGAAGAAGTTTTTATTCATCAGTGCATCAGGCTAGTCTAACCTTACTAAGTTGTGATGAAAGTATTCTAATCTCTCTTTTTTTTAGTCCTTACTGGATCATCGGAGGATAGTCTTCTATTTATCTTCAGATAGCATGGGAGGGAGGCAGGGAGAGAGAGAAACACTGATGTGAGAGGGACACATTGACAGGTTGCCTCCCACACGACCCCGACTAGGGCCAGGAATGAACTGCAACTGAGGTAGATTCCCTTGCCCAGAATTGAACCCAAGACTCATTGGTCCGCAGGCCAATGCTCTAACTGCTGAGCCAAACCAGCCAGGGTTGTTCTGATCTCTTAAAGAAATACTAATGTTATGTTTGCTTTTTTAATTCAGATAAAATTGTTGTGATCTCATTTTAATAATGCATATCTTATAATTTAGTTAACCCATCTCTGGCCAACAAGAATGCTAAAGTGACAGGCTGTTGTGAACCCAGAATTTGAAAGTGGAAAGCCTAGTAGGGCCAACCCACAGAAGGGGTCTGTCCCTGAAGGCTTCAAATAGGAGCTTTACTTTTCATTATGAAGGACATTTGTTCTCATCTGAGAATGTCCACTGCTCTTTTGGGGACCTGCTCTGTGTTCATAGTGCTAACATGTCCTGAAGGGGAGCTGCCAAGTCCTCCTATGCCCCACCCTTTCTTCCTGCTTGGTCCATGGGACAAGAGTGTCACCCAAGCTGACCAATTGGAATCTCTCTCTGGGATCTTCCTAATTGGATCTGTGAAAACAAACTTCCTCTCAGGAGAGGAAACGGAAAGAGTCTCCTGATGTTGGCAACCTTGATTATAACCTCATGGAAAAAATTTGAGAGAATGAAGCAGATATTCAGAAAGAGACAGAGTCTTGATGGCTGAGATTTTCCTTCCAGCCCACAGGGTCTTCTAAACTGGTTGTTTTTCCAGCCCATCAGCCACCCCAGAATCCTTCCAATAAATCTCCCCCTTCTATTTTCTGCTTAAGTTAGTTGGAGTTTGCTATCTATTACTTGCAACTAAAAGAATATTAGAGTCCTGGCCGGTTTGGCTCAGTGGTGAAGAGTGTCGGCCCACGGACCAAGGAGTCGCGGGTTCACTTCCAGTCAAGGGCACATACCTTGGTTGTGGCTCATCCCTCGCTCTGGTCAGGGTTGTGCAGGAGGCAGCCAGTCGATGTGTCTCTCTCACATCAATGTTTCTCTCTCTCCCCCGCTCTCCCTCTTTCTCCCTCCCTCCCACTCTATCTGAAGATAAATGGAAGAATATCCTCGGATGAGGATTAAAACAAAACAAAACATTACTATATTCTTCCAAAGCAGTTGATATGGTT